CCCCTCTCGCCCTTGGGCGGCCGACGGGGCCGCTACTCGGGAGGAGCTCGCCGCTTACTCCCCTCTTCCTCTCTGTTTCTTTCCGTGTGTGCTTGTTGCGGTTTCTTCCCCTGCCCGCCCCTTTCAGGACTGTGGGAGCGGAGCCCTGTAAGGCAGGTTCTCTTCTGCCCCCGGTGCCGCTTCTATCGCACCTCCCGAGCAGGCGTTTTGCCCCGCAGTTAACGTCTCCAGTGTCTTCCCTGTCCCTTAAGGTGACTCTGAAAGCATGACAGTGAGAGGTGGTATGTAACAAGCACCGGGGCAGCAGGTGGTCCTGTAACTGCAGCATGTTACCCTTCTGCTATTTGCACAGCCTGTGGGTTTGAAGACAGGGGACTAGATTTTCTAGGGTTTGTTTCCTTTTTTTTTTTTTCATCACAGTGAGTGGGAATGGGAGTGGGAATGTGTTTCTGTTTCCACTGTTTTAATGCTTTGCTGCCCTCACTGTGAAGAGCATACCTGCTTTCTAGGAGAGTTGAGCCTAGCTCATTTCTGTTTCTGAAACACTGAAAGACATGTAATAACAGGATATCAGCACATCAAATGTTACATTATTAATACTTTTCATGATAGAGCTTTTGAAGCCTCTAAGCTGTGTACATACGTTGGGGCTCAAAATCCGTGTTTGTCTCGGAAATGACTCAGTTGTTTGAAGATGAAAAGTTTAGGTAATCGTATTTTTTATGGAATACTGTCTTTTAGTCTGAATTACTGCCTCTTAGTTATGGTTGGGGAAGACTTTTGTATGGGTAGTCATGGTTCTCTGTTGGTAGACAGATGGCTTTTTCTTCTGTCACTACAAATCAAAGTAAAATTGACATGAACATATATCCCTGTGTTGGAGAGTTGGTGCTAATTGGTGAGAAGCAGTGATGAAGAGCTGCTATTGAAGATAAAGAAACAGATGAGAAATAGAGATGGGGATGATGCGAATATGTGTTGTAGCAGACAGATGGAGTGGTGAACCAGGAGTGAGTCACCAAGATCTGAGACTGGGGAAGAGACTGTGCCCTTTCCCTTCTGGTGACTGTTCTGAGATACACTTAAAGTTTGAAAGTGTTGCTAAGTGGAAATTATTAAAAAGTGATTATATACATGGAGTCTGGAACAGCACATTAAAGAACAATTACATGTTCTTTTGAAAACGGCATTGCTGTTTCAAAGCTTGGAAGCTACAGATCTAGAGGTATGCTAGGCTTATCTTGCCACTAACCAGTGACCTGATCTCCTACCAGTTGCTTTGTATGTAACTATGTATGTGCTAGATTCCAGAAATCTAGAAAACTGTGCTCTGCAGCTTCAACTGTGTCCCTCTGGTGACTTCAGCATTCCATAATGGAATGGAACTTGCCCACTACTGCTAAGTAAGGAACAGTCTTTTGAGATCCATTGTAAGGGCACCATTCATGTGCTGATGGAAGATCTCATCCCTGTGCTTCAGTACTTAACAGGAATAGAGCCTTTGCTGTAGAGTATTTGTATACCATTAACTCTGCAACAATTGAGCGAATTTCTGTTTATTTAGTGAGGGAAATGGGATGAAAAGCTCTCTAAAACAGTCTTTGTTTCCTGCCCCCTTTTTAAAAAAAAAAAAATACATAAATTAAGCAAACTGTATAAGCAGTATCAATGCAGAATTCCAAACTGCTGGAATGTGCTTTTGGTTCTGTGTGTTACCAAAGGTCTGTTTGTATCAGAACGTTTTCCTGCATAGAATTCCTAATGCAGATTTTGTGCAAGTGCGGTCAGTGTGGCTCCCTGTAATGGTGCAATTTCCGTAGAGAAGTTCATTAATGTGAAGGTTAAAATGCTACTAGGAGTGGAACTTTAGAGCAAAAATACTCTTTTATTTGTTTCTGCCCTTCACATCTGCCACCATGCATATGCGGAAAGATATAAACTAAAAAAAACCCCGACCTTTTTGGATATTTTCTCTATTTTATCTGTGGAACCGTCTTAAGTAAGTTGGAGATCTTGTGCACACCATTCTGGATCTCCTGCTCTGTTGGTGTTTTAGCTTGGCATCCTTCATTTCCCCTTTCATTTTACTGTGCAGCAGCAAAAACTTAAACTGTTTTGATAATCATTCAAATTTTTATTTATAGCCCTTCAATCTTAGCATTTGATGTTGAGAGGTACGTTTGTTTAATAAAGGCAGAAAAAAAGAGGTGACCTAGCTGTCCCAAATTCACCCAGCTACTCACTGGCTGCAAGAAAAATGCCCTGACATCCTGGCAACTAAGGCAGACTGTGTTTGGGTTTGTTTTTTTTTCCCTAAAACGTGACATCTGCTCTTTATTTGAAAGATTAATTAGGCTTTACATCATGTAGTATTGTAAATAAGGGAAGGTATGTTGCACTTTTGCTTCCATCTTGAAGTGTATTCTCATCTCTTTCAGTGTCTAGTTTTTGAAGAGCTGTGATTCTTGGGAAATGGTATGTTAGTAAATACACTGATACAAAGTCAAACAGAATGTTATCACTGTTCTTGAGGGAACAGTCTGTCCAGCTCTACCAAATACAATGGGCTGGAGGAGGTGTAGGAAGCCCTACCTTGCTTTGGTGGTAATTGAAGCTATCTTGTTCTCCTTGTGAGTATGCACAGCCCCCTGCCTTTTTAATTGTTTTTTTGGGTTGTTTTTTTTTTTTTTTTTTTTTTTTTTTTTTTTTTTTTTTTTTTTTTTTTTTTTCCTTGATGTATGTGGTTTACAGGGAGAGGTCAGGCTCATTTTTTGCTTTATCTTACGGACCTGGACAGCCGCCAAAAAGAGCGGTCCTACTCTGTTTTCTTTTTGCCTGTTCCCAAGGCCAAGCCACACTTTTCTGTTACTTTTATCCTGAACCCAGGGAGTGTGCTGATGTGGAAAATCCGTTCAGCTTTATCACACAGTGGAAGACTGGAAGAAGGATTAACTTGGGTCATCTTGCCAAATTGATTGCTGCACAGTCGTATAACCGTAGAGCTGTTGTGTGATACAATGGAGCCAAGAACATGTGTTCTTGTGTTGGAAGGGAAGATGGATTTCCCACATGCAGCCCTTATGCCCTCCCACTCTTTGGGAGTATCCCACTGTTAAATCTCTGTATGGTGTAAAGTTCTGTGGAAGCACCTCTGAGCCACAATCAGAAATGAGGCTTTCATGTGGGCCCAGATTGTTCCTTTGCATGACCCTTTCTCTTAGTAATGTTGGTGTTTGGATTAAGCTGGTTCGTAATAAAGATTTCTGTACCTTGTGAGCACTGAGTAAATGTACCATGCAGGCTGGGAAGGAGGTGTGTAACATGCTGCTAGAGGAGCAGCTGGGATCATGTTTGACACCAGGTCTCACTCCTAGCTATGCTTCTGTTTAATGTCTCTTTAATTATTAATACACAGTGTGTATGTATATATTCTGTATTTGGAGGGACAGTCTTTTGTGATGCTTATTAAAGCAGCTGTTTGGAACCGCGGGCATGGATTTACTATCCCAGGTTAGAACATTAGAATTAAATGCTTTCAGATCAGATGTCCTTTGCTACTGATTGAGGAAGTTGGATATTTCACAGAGCCACCTTTATTTAGAAAACCCTCTGACGGTATTCTTCTTTTCCACAGAATTTTTAATTTAGACTCTGAAAGGCTCAGAAATCAAACAGACGGTTCCTTTGTAGGATGAGAATGTTGCAGTGTGATTTTTCAACAGTTTTATATGTCCTAAGGGTACTGTACACACTGGTTAAAACCCTGCTTGCTCTCTCAAAATTGATAATGGAATGGATTTGTTGTACAGTAGTCATGTAACTACAGAATTTTACTGAGTCACATTAGTTATTTGCTATTTTATTTTAAACTGTTTATTTGATGTTGAAAGCTCTGGTTAATAAATTAAGCACCCTGATTGTGCATTGTTTGGGTAGCCAGAGATGTAATTGATTTCAAAACTGAAGGTACTTCATCTATTTTTCAGTGGAGTTTGTCTCTAGTTCTTTTGAGCCATGCTGCCTTTGAGCAGCTTGTCAGTCATGTTGCTACTCAAAATCTCATCTCCTGTAACGAACATTGTCTTGCTTGCTTTCTGATGAATGCAGAACTTGGGCTCCTTTTTTAAAATTAGTTTTGATGCTGCTGTGATAAATGAGAGGAAGATGATAAACTCATGTCATGTTTGGTAAAAATTAACACAAAGCATGTAAGAAACTGCTTGCAATTAATATGATGTTTTTGATGTTTGTAGTGTATGGAGTGCAGTTTCTCTGAGTTCTTACGTGCTGTTAGGGAATGAATGTCTAGAACATGAACAAGCACACATGTACTCTAGAGGGATGTTGACAGTGTTGCCCTTAGGAGGTCACCCTTTGAAAGGCAATGTGTAGTACCTCTGCAGTCTGTTTATCTTGTGACAATGAAACTGTCCCATCTGCAGGCGCAGGAGCAGAAGTAAGGAAAGTCTAGGTAAAGCAGAAATGAGCTGCATGCGTTGCTATAATGAAAGACTGCCTGAATCACAGAATGCTTCTGTAGAAGTTTAGTAAGTGCTTGCTTTGTTTGCAAAGCTGCCTTGCCTAGCTATATTTATTTATGACCTTGCTGAGAAAGACAAAATTGTCTTGGTAGGATAAGGGTTCACTCTGCAAGGGAGAGGAGAGTGGAGCATTAAAGCGAGGAGCAAAAGCAACAAGGTGCAAATTCATAATCCTGATTTTTCACAAATCGGATTACTTATACGACGTTATATGCTAAATATCACGGAAGTAATCCAAGTGATGCTTGGATAAAAACGTGAGCTCAAAAACCAGAGAAATTTAAGCATAAGACACAAGAAATGGGTTGTTGTTCTTCGGGAACAGATTTAGGAAGGTTGGGGGGGATGTGAGGGAGTGTTTTTATGTGTGTGGGTTGTGTTTGGTCTTTTTTTCTTTCTTTTTCTTTTCTTTTTTTTTTTTCCTTTCCCCATGGAGATGTGAAAGTTTTCCATCTATTCTAAAGTACAATATTTTGTTTTGCACTAGAGGACCATTTTGATATAAAAGTAGGAAAAAAAAATCTCAACTTCAAAACTGCAGGTACATGCTGCTTCTTGTCAAGAGCATTTCTCTCCATAATTGCGATCAGAAATACAGAAATAAGGCTGTGATCATGATTGATTTTTCAAAAAGTGGTGGTAAACATGATACAACTCACTTTTTTTAAGAACTCAAATTTTTAAAGGTTTTATGGCTCTTGTGAGACTGAGCTGCTGAGACCAGTGAGAATCCTGTTACCAAAGATATATTAGTTGTTATAACATTTTTCCCAATTATTTTTCTTAAAATTATTCACTTTACCTTTTAGCTGTAAAATACAATTTAGGAATTTTGGACTTTGTTGTAGTTCTTATTTAGTGCGTCATTCTGCATGTTACTCATTCTGTTTCCCCATTTTTTCTATTATTGAGAGCTGTGTCAAGTAAGTACTCTGATGAGGAGTTTTGGACTATAATTTCTGAAAGATTTGTTCTGTAAAATTCACTATGAATCCGGCATGAATAGTTCTGAAGTTAAAAGTTAAAATCATTTCCCATTTAACCTGTTCTTACCTTCCATTCCTCTAGATTTGGACTCAGCAGGACCGGCAATGCATCCTTGATGCTTTAGCGCAGTTATTACTGGATAAAGAATGTACTCTATTGATAGGCCGTCAAGTTCGGCCAATTTTGTTGGATTTGTTGGAAAGAAATGCAGAAGCCATTAAAGCTGGTGGCCAAATTAACCATGATCGGCATGAAAGGCTGTGTGTGGCAATGAGCAAGCTGGTTGCTGACCACCCTGATGTTTTGCCGTGAGTAATGTAGTGTCAATTTGTGCAGTGTTTGAACATAGGGAGCATATGCCTGTCGGTGTCCACTGGTGAAGAGAGATGGTGGTACAATTTGGATTGTCTCACGTAACAAATGTGTTTTGAATTGAAAGCATTATTTAGAAAACATAAATCTTAAACACACCTTATTTAGATTAAATTGTGTTGTTAGATCTAACAAGATTTTCATCTTAATGATCAAAATAATATCAAAAGAAGAGCAAAACAGGTGGCGTGTAAATTACAGCCAAAATTTCTGCATTTAAGATTAGACCTGTAGGCCAGTAGAATACAAAGTTACGTAAGAAGGATTCAGTATTACTTTTTCAGTAAACAAGAGCATTCAAAGTGATTTCAACAAAGGCAGTACAGTTTCGCCTTGATAATAAAGTAATGATTTCTTGTAAAGTATCTGTTGTTGGCTGATTGCTGAAGTAGTTGTCTTTCCCAAGTGCAGACAAAGTCAAACATAGGCCTTAGTTCTCAGTATGCTGTCAATGACAGTCTTGGGACCTCTGTCCTGACATTTTTATTAGTGGTTATTTTTCCTTTCTTCTGGCTTAGATGTCTGTGTTCCATTTTTTTCTCTCTTTTTCTTCTAAAGATTTGCTTTAAGATATTTTAAGAATACATCACCAGTTTTCCAGAGGCTTTTCCTGGAGAGCTCAGATGCAAACACAGTCCGATATGGGCGCAGACGAATGAAGTTACGGGACCTCATGGAGGCAGCCTATAGATTTTTACAAAAGGAGCAATCAGTTTTCCGGGAGTTGTGGGACTGGAGTGTGTGTATTCCACTGCTAAGGAGTCATGACACATTAGTCCGTTGGTAAGTTAATACCCCCAGATCTTCTCCATTGAAAAGATATATCTGTATCTTAGGTTGTCTTTAACAAAGTTCAAATGCAAATAGAAAAATCTTCAAATAATACCAGAAAAATCTGTACTGATGGTATTTGTACTTCTGCTTCTTACCTGATCTTTTGAAAGCTGTGGTGATCTGTCACAGGCTGAAACTTAGGCTGGCTGTTAGTTGTGCTTAAAGCTCTGGTCTGGAGAATCTTTTCGGATAACTTCAGCTTACCCAATGGGAGATGGTAAATTTATCACTTCACCTCTACTGTAAGCCTGTTGGTATACTAGAATGCATTCTAGCACGTTATCCTAGAAGAAAGTAGAGATTAATCTACTGTTTCTTCAGTTTACATTACAATAGTATATTATGCTATTCTGCACTGATATGCTATTAACAAGTTGTTTTTTTTCTGTTGCTTGTATATAGACATCTTGGGTACTGTAAAGCTTGGCTTATTTAAGCTAAGCTTTTTCATTGGCATTGTTGCAGACTTTGCATGTATTTTGATCAGATGTTTTATGTTAGATGTCTGCCTGTAGGGCTTCAACCTAGTCATATGATCTACCTTATTTATGTGAGCGGTAGTATTAATAGTGCCTTATATTTACTTAAGAAAAGGTCTCTAATAGTCTATATTTAAAAAAAAAAAAAACCTACCAAAACCCAACAACATAAATTCAGAATTATATTTGTAACACTCAATTTTGAAATAAGGTGTATATTTTAGGAAGTGCAGGATCTAGAGTGTTGTGAAATCCGTCAGCCATTTATGAGTCTCTGCAGGGTGACATGCACTTAGATAGTCTTTAGAAAAAGAAACAGAATCAGAATCAAAGAAACAATTTCTGATTCATTGACTGGAGTGGGTTTACATGGTGTTCAGCTAATAATCTCAAGTAAGTGAATCAGTGGACTTTTAAATTTTGTCCTGAACCAGCCTTCTTCTGACAACTCCCACCACCACACCAAGCTCATTGAAAGCTTTTTTTACTTGGAAAATAAAACCAGTGCTATAATAATGAAATTTTTATGATTGTATTAAGTGTTCTTTTTTTGCAAGACAGCTTTAGGTAGTGATGAAGTCATTACTGCCTACAATGGGAGTCGTTGGCTTCTTTTGGCACTGAGTCTTGAAGTCTTTGTGTTAGGGTTATTTTAGAAATAGCATGGAATAGAAAGCAATTTTGAAAGGGAAGTGGTAGGAGGAGAAGAAAAAAAAACAGGCAAAGAAAACTTGATTTTTATAGTCTGATCTGTTAACCTCAATTTTTTGGGGAAAGTGCTCTCCTTTACTGTATTTCTGTTGATCATTCAGTCCTTCAGAGAAAGCTTAGCTAGTTGGTGTATAAATGATAAAGTATGCCATGATAGAATTGCTTTTCTCAGTTCTATTTCTTTACTCTTAAAGAATGTTAAGCATAGCACTAAAATAATTTCTACGAAGAAAGTTTTCTTCATGTTTTTCCAAACTTGCTACTTTGGTTTGCAATTGCCAGTTGTCAAACTAGATTTCTTAAGACTATGTTTTGACATTTGTTCTAAATATAATTTTTAGGTATACTTCAAACTGTCTTGCTCTGGTTACATGCATGAATGATGAGCATAAATTATCTTTCCTGAAGAAGATATTCAATCCTGAGGAGCTGATACAGTTCAGACTAAAGTAAGAACTTTTAACATCTTAAACACTATTTGGCTTTGTTTATGGCTTTCAGTTGAGTTAATAAATATGGATTTCACAGGCTTCTAGAAGAATCTCAGCTACAGAGTGTGGAAAAAGCCCTTGTTTTGGCCAATCCAGACTCTTCTTTTTGGCAAAAGGAGAAAGAACTGCAATACACACAAGGACATATAGTGTCGGGCGACCTCTCTGCAAATGTAGTAGCTGTATGTGGTATTGTGCTGCCGAGGCTGCAGCTTATTTCTGAAGAGCAGGTATGTAACCCAGGCTTAAGTGTGTACCTTTTTCTTCTATTTTTTTTTCCTTTAAGAATACCTAAATTCGGTGAGCTGAGTTTGTGCCCTGCTTAAATGGTATTGAGATATTACAGGTAATGTGTGTATCTTTAGCTTTCCTGATGTGCGCTGTAAGCTAGCATTTCATGACGTAGACACCGCAAAGAAGCTCTGCGGTGGAATGAAGTGTTGAAGACGTAATAGTGGTTTTAACTTTGTCTTCGTGTAACAGTTCTTGCGAACATACTACAAAATACTATTCAGCCTTACATAGTATCTCCAGTTCAAGTTAAGATATTCCACGGCTGAGTAAAGCCAGGATCTGGTACAGTTGCTTTTACCTGCAAGAAGTAGTTTTTTGTGCTATACAGGCGTATTATAAACAGCCTTTCTACAAACATATTCTCAGTTCTCTGAAACAAGGCTGCTACTTACTCTTCTAGAAGACAGAAAAAGGGGAAAGGAAGTAAGAGCTTGCTTTCTCCACTTGAGTGAAGTATAATGCAGAATGTAGTGCCTTACAGTTTTAGGAGCAAACAGTATTTTTGAGCAAACAAAATTTAACCTTTTTTTCTCTTGAGATGCTGTTCATCTTGAACTGTTCAGGTTCTTTGTAGCTGCAGCTGTTTTTGACTGGTTTTCTCATTTAGGTACAGTTTTAGCTGAGTATTTCTATTTGATTTTATGACACTGATCTACAAAGAAATGAGTGAAGACTTCTTATGTCCAGAATTTCTTTAATAGCAGAAACAAGGAAGGAGGAATTTCTTCCCCAATTCCTCCTTTCACCCTTCCCCAAACTTCTGCAGTTGTATTTGCTATGTTCTATATTTTTTATAGGATTTAGGGTGCAGTTTGAATTTCATTGCAGCAGGGGAAACTATAGAGTTCTTTAATGAGATTCTTATTCCTGTGCCAGCATCATTGCTGCTGCAGCTGTGCTGAAGCTAGGCCATGCTATAAACTGCATTGCTGTGAAAGGATACTCTTTCTCTATAAGAGAGAAGACAGCTTCCAAAAAATGTATGCTTTTATTTTTTTTTAATAGCCACAGGTATTTCACTTATCTAGTATACAGTGTAGTTCAAGTTATGCTGGAGAGGTTCCGCTTACAGCTGAGGAGGTCTGACGAAGAAGAAGGAGCAAACTGTGAGGGAAAGCAGGTACTTCTAAGAACTAGCATTGTTACCAGAGAAGTACATAAAACTGTAGCTGGAAAGATCAAATTTACATTCAAAACGCTTTTTTCAGTGTAGTGTATACTCCTGCTTTCTTTTCTCTGTGCATTTTGGCAGGAAAGCACTAATTTTTGTGCCATATACTGATACATAGGTGACTGCAGAAGAGTCACAGTATTTGAAGAGTATCTGTAACACTGATTAATTACCATTCAATAAGTTACATTCACTGCATTTTGAAAAAAATAAAAATGTTACTGAATTTACCTCTTTTCTTTTTTCATGCACTGAGTTTGATCTGCCTGTGCAGAAAGAAGTAAATACAACAGTTAATATTCATACTTACATCATCTGAATCTAACTGCTGTTTGATTTGTCCTGTCATTTGGATCCATTCTGATGACTTTATTTCACTTATATTGCAAATTGTATTTGATTGACATATGTTATGATTGAATAGTTACTATGTCTGTACTGACAACTTAGTATGAACTCCCTTTGGGAACAAATTGTACATATACTTTATTCGGTATTTCACCTATAAAAGGTTTTTGATGAAATCTATTTTAATATCTGTCATTAAATACAGCTTTAGAATCCTTTATTTTATTTGATATGTGTTGACAGATTTGAAGGCCAAAATTTTCAAGTTGTCAGACTCACTTTCCTAATCGTTCTGTGTTGTACAACCTCTAAAAAAAAGTATCAATTTTAGTGTAATAACTCAAATTTTATGTTTGAACAGGAAAATATCACCAGCCGTCTTGTTATGGTTGAATCTGCCTTCATGAATCTTCAAAACCTTGCTATTGCTGTAGCGTATCAGACTCCTGTTTTATTAGAAGGACCAATAGGATGTGGCAAAACTTCTTTAATAGAATACTTAGCAGCTGTCACAGGAAGAGCAAAGCCTCCTCATATTTTGAAAGTCCAGCTTGGGGATCAAACTGATAGTAAGGTAACTGATGAAGGTATTTTGTGGTTGGATGGTCAGACTTAATTTTTACTTAAGGCATGGACTTAATTTTCTAATAAGGTAATGTTTAACTTTTTGCTCAAAGACCCCACAGCCCCAGTTCTGCAGTGTTGTTCTTACTATTGCTGAGAATAAATAAATGTGAAGAAATTAAGCTTCAGTAGATTTAAAATTCTGTGCATAATTTTGATGTATCTGTTTCAGATTGTTTTATCAGAGTTCTTCTATGTGGAAGCGCCCTATTTT